AAAAAAAAAAAGAATTGCTAGCAGACTTGCTGTTTAGCCCCTTATATATTCAGGTGAGCGAGTGCAGATAAATATCACAGAGCCTAGTTCATTGTTCAGTGAGTGCAGGAGCCTGATGGCGGGGCTCCACGTGCCTACGCAGATGCCAGCCTCCTCGTAGATCAGCTCACTTCGCTTTTCTCACAGAGAAATCAGGATTCTCTTTCAGTCAGATATGAGCTGCTCCTGGCCTACGCTGAGCTCCTTTTGTCTCTTTTTACCCAGGTAGCTTCTCTTTTCTGATTTCCATTCCCCTGCAACACAGACGAAGATTCTGGTTACCAAAGCGGCAGGTCTCTGCTGAGTTTCAGCGCAGTGTGACATGGTTCTCTGTCTCTTGCCTCCTCCCAGGCCTGGGTTCCCCCTCGATCAGATATGCCTTGCAGCTCCAGCCCATTTGTCTTCTGTTGGAGGTGCCAGACAAGATTCTCATTTATTCACTCGCAATCAGCTATTGCCATCGCTCAGAGACACAGCACACGTGAGCACTGTTACACCAGGGCAGCCTGGCTCAGGCACGGGCCATGGAGGGGCAGGGTTTTGACTGGCAGGCTTATCGGTGACAAAATTGATCAGCAGATCGTTTTTCCAGCAAAAACAAAAGTGATACTGTTCTTACTGGGCATCATTCTCAGTGGCTGCCCTGGACCTGGTCCTGCTGGGGTGCCACGTGTACTTTCTTATGACTCACATAGCCTCAAAATTGGGGGAATGGGGTCACCTAATGGACTGGGGTCCTCCACTGAGATTCTGAACTCAGAAATTCCAGTGAGACAGTGCTCCAAGGGGGACTGGAAAAGCTGCAGGCCATGTCCTGGCTGAAGGTGTCAGGAAACAGAAATTAGGATGCAGTAGAAGGTATTAGGAAGAGGGGGAAATAGGGTAGACACACAAAAGAGGGAACAGAAATGCTGAGACGGGAAGATAGAGGAAAAGGGTAGAAAGAGAAGCTTAGAGGGAAAGTGGGAGAAGGACAAGGAGGGTAGGAGAAAGGACAGAGGAAGGAGGAGGAATACCCCTCGTCCGCTTCTGTATCTTCAGGACCCCATGGGGTAGCACAGGTTAGAACTTAAAGGAACATTCTTTGGAGCCAGCCCATGGTGGTTCAAATCCTGCCTTGCAGCTTACTGGCTGTGTAACCTTGGCAGGGGTTATAGCATCTGTCTCGTAGGGACATAGTGAGGAGCAAATGTGTTAACAAATGAAAAGCACCTATCCGGTGCCTGGCACACTACATAAGTGTGCTCTATGCTTGTTACCAGAATTCTTGCTTTCCACTGACTGTCTCTTCCAACTCCACATGGTCCCGGCAGCAGTCACAGACCCCACCCCATCAGAACTGAACCCACCTGTGGATATCTGCTCTTTAGGATCAAAAGTAGCTTTAACTCTGACAACTTCAGGCTGTTTTCCTAGTTCCTAATATTAAAAATAAATTATTTTCTTTTGCATTTTAAACATTTCGGAAAAACATAAGTAAAGTATGTGCCTCATGGGACATGCCTCTAGACAAGCTCTAGACAAGCTCTCTAGAGCTTTCTAGACAAGCTCTCTGATTTGGGCAAATGGGGAAACATGGCAACTTCCTTTCCTGCAGTTACTTCTGGGGGCGAGTGTCTCACAGGTGCCGCTCCCCTCTGGTGTGCTCTCCTTGGCACCAAGTAAACTGGCTCGGATTTGGCTTCCTTCTGTCATTTTGTCTCATGTGGTTCCCTGAAACTTCCAGCTGTCTCTCCTTTGCTTGGCCACTTGCTACCTGGAAGCCCTCACCTTGTGTCATTTTATTCCAGGTGTTTTCACAAGTGCTGGCGGCCAAGGTCCATTTTCCAACACTGAGAACAAAGGCTGGGTTGGGCTCTTCAGTGGCTGACACCCAGAGATCTAGTTTGTCTTTTGCTGATGGGAAAAGGAGACTCCAGCTAGGAGAGAGCATGGAGACCACAGTTGTCCTCTGGCTCGCTGACCATGACGGTCTGCTGGTGTTGCCCAGCAGGAGCACAGCAGGTCCTCAAACAATGTCATTTAAGAAAAATATCAGATGGTCTCACTCATAGCAGGGATTTAGAAAACCTAAACAAGGGACCAGGAAAAAGACTAATTATAATAAAGAAAAAATCAAAATCAACAAGCAACTATAAACCAGAGACACACTGATGGAGTGGGGTAGGGGGAAGAAGGATTAGGGCCAAAATAAGGGGGGGGGGTGGGAATTGTAGGGGAATATAACCAAAATGAAAATGCACACATTGTGCAAAAATGAAAAATGATGTAAGAATTGTATAAAACAAAATAGTAAAAAAAAAATAATAACAATGTTGGCGAGAAAAACCAATCCCAGCACACTCTGAGGGAAATGATATTTTTCAAGGACCTGCTTTCATTCTAGGTTGTTTCACGTCAAGTCACAGTTTCCAAGAACTCGCTGACAGCAGTAAATGAAGACTTGTACCACAAACTGGATGATTTAACAGAAATCTGTTGTCTGAGAGTTCTGGGCACTGGGAGTCTGAAGTCAAAATGCTTGGCTCCTTCTGAGGATGTTGAGGCTCCAAAGGAGGATCTAAGTGTCCCGTCCTTCCTAGCCCCTGGGAGTTTGCTGGCTGTCTGGCATTCCTTAGTTTCTGCAACGTCCCCCAGACCCTGCATTCACTTTTATGTGGATTCTCCCCGGTGTACACGTCTCAGTTCCTCTTTTTATAAGAACCCAGTGCGTTGGATCAGGGCCCATTTTAAGGGCCTCATTTAACTCAATTACTGCAGTAAGTATCCCATCTCCAAATCAGATCACATGCTGAGCTATGGAGGCTAGGATTTCAACGTAACTTGCTTTATAGACATACTTGGACCCAGAACATTGGTACATTTGAGAAGTAAATACTGAAGTCATTCTTGGGGTTGACATCTTGGTGACTGCTGGTTTGCTGATAACAAGGTATCTGTGAAGCAAGCCCAGGGCTATAATAATCATGACTCATATCTATTGCTTAACACTCATAGCTTTTGTAATTTCATACTCTTGTGGTTTTTCTATACTGGCCTTTCTTCCTCAGAATCCTCGGCTGGACCACAAGTGTTGGCTTGTCCCAGGATCTGTGCTGTGATCCCTTTTCTTCATCTACACCCTATCTTTGAGGAAACTCATCCAATCCTATGGCTCTAAGTACCCTCATTAAGCTCATGTCTCTCAAATTTATATTGCTATATCTTCAGCCCTGCCCCCTCCCCTGGAATCCACACTAATTATCCAATGATATATTGCCTTCTTGTCACATTCATTTGGATGTTTAATAGGCACCTCAAACTTTTAGTGTCCAGAACTGAAATCTTGATTTTCTCCCAGTAAGTGTGCTCCTTACCATTTTCTCTATCTCAGTAAATGGCACGTCCCTGGCTCAAGTTAAATCCTAGTTGATCCCTTGCTTTCCCTCTACATTGAAGTAAGCCTTGAACTCTGTTGACTCTTAGTCTAAGACATCTCCAGCGCTGTTCCCCTCACCATCCATCTCTTTGGTCTGCACCCTGGTCCAGGCACCAGCCTCTCTTACACAGACGGTCTTTCTCCTTATACTCTTTTTTTTTGTTTTTTAAAGATGTATTTATTTTATTTTATACAAGAACTAGGGTACAGGCCAGATGGGTGAGAGGGTGAGAGAATTCACCAGAGACAGAGTAGGGAACAGAACAGGCAGACTGACGAAATACACTGCTGAGGGGAGCAGCAGGCGAGACAGGAGAGGTCTGCTTTGCCATGTGGGTTGCTCCCTTGGCCGGCCAGGGATCAAACTCTGCAGAGGCTGTGGACAGTTTCACAGCCCAGTGCTCAGCCACTGCTCCACCAGGGGAGGCCCTCAACATAAAGTATTGTAGATTCAAACTCCACTCCTACCAACCCCACATTTATTTCCTACCATATCTTCCTGATTAACTTTGATCCTAGAATATAACACTGCCTGCTATCCTTTCTTTCACTTACCATCTGTCTCCTTCCAGTATGATAGAAGAAGAATAAGCTAGGTACACTGTCCTGCTTGTTCCATTTGTGGTCCTGGAAGCCTAAACCAGTAACTTGCACACTTCAAGCTTCAATGCATGTTTGTCAAATGAATGAACCAAGATGTCCTGAGCAAGAAAAGTGGAAGGACCTACAGTTAGCATGTATCTGATGAGTCTTGCATACTTCAAGCCTTTATCATCAGGATTCAATTCAGTCCTCATAAAACCCTTAAAGGTAGGCGTTGCTTCCATTTGACAGTTGAGGAAAGTAGGGCTCAGAGATCCTGAATAAGGAGACTGATACAAGAGTTCATAAATTACAGAGCTGAAATTCTAACCAGTTTCCACATTTTCCTGTGACACAAGCCGGAGTAAGCATATAATAGACCTACTGTTTAGGAAAAAAGGGTGTAATCAAGTTATTGAAAAGTATTAAGAATAATGTTTAGTTATAGTTCAATTAGAGAAGATATCCTTTCTGAACTTCATCTTTCTATAGCTGGAAAAATTAATTGAAAGATTAAAGATTTCCACAGTAGACATTATGCTTATCTGGAGTGGAAGAAAGTTTGAACTTTAATGAAAGAAGAAAAGTTGTTGAAAGAAAAAAGCAATGGAATATTTGTATTATGCTATTGTGAGATTCAGGAACAAGAGGCAGATTTTGAGTCATGATTGGTGAAGGACGTGGGGGGCATAAATAGTTTTTGAGGGGCCTCCCTCATGGTGCAAGGGGTTAAGATGCAACCTATGAAGCTATCCGCAGCCACTGTAGCACGAGTTTGATCCCTGGCCAGGGAGCTACCCACATGGTGCAGCAGACCTCTCCTGACTCACCCACTGCTCCCCTCAGCAGTGTATTTCAGTCAATGCATCTGTTCTGTTCCCCACTCTGTCTCTGGTGAATCCTCCCACTCCCCACACCTCTGGTCTATGCACCAGTTCTTGTATGCATAAATAAATACATCTTAAAAAAAATAAATAGTGTTTGAGATGCTCTCTGTCCCCTACAGTGCTACCAGGCATAGGGGCGCAAGAACATTTGTGGAATGAACAGGGAGCATTAGTGCATCCAAGTCTACATAGACAATACTTCCTTTCTGTGTGGCAGAGGTGGGGACAGGGAGACATCATGTGGCTTGATGACTGGGTAGTTGATTGACTTCACCTGGACCCATAGGCAGGTTCCAGTACTAAGAATGTAAGCATTTCCCTCCTCCTTCCTGATCCCAGCCCCCTCCCTCATCTCCATGTACATTGTCATTCTGTCTATGAGGGACTGAAGACTTGATGGATTTCCTTGGCGAGATGACCAATTCTCTCTCCTTTTGTACTCTAATGACCCAGTATCTGTCTTTTGTTGGTTGTAGTTAGATTTAGTCAAACATGATTTAATTCATGATCTACTGCATTCATGGTGATAATGAGTCATAAATAATGGGGTCCTGGGCCTCCCCAGTGGCACAGCGGGTTGAACACAGCGCTGTGAAGCTGTCTGCAGACTCTGCAGCGCGGGTTCAATTCCTGCCAGCCAGGGAGATTCCCACATGGTGCGGCAGACCTCTCCTGTCTCGCCTGCTGCTCCCCTCAGCAGTGTATTTCAGTCAGTCTGCCTGTTCTGTTCCCCACTCTGTCTCTGGTGAATCCTCTCACCCTCCTGCACCTCTGGCCTGTAACCCCAGTGCTTGTATAAATAAACAAATCTTTAAAAAAAAAAAAAGTATCTACCTTAAAAAAAAAAAAAGAATGGGGTCCTGTTGTCATTTATTTCAATAAATTTCAAATTATGACATAGAAATACTAGGAATAATCTCATGAATAAAAGAAATAAAAAAGGAATTTATGGGATCTTTACATTCCCTAAAGAAATCACTCAAGTACCAAAAGAAGAAACTAAATTTAGGTAATCAAAAATCAAGATGTTTAAAGAAGGCCTGTTGTTTTTACAAGATCTGAAATAACCAATTGGAATGCAATAAAAATCAGGAAGGGTGCCCTCTCACAGAGAACTTGTATCATGGACTAATACAACCATTTATGGAGAAAATTATCCAGGTCAAAACAAAGTTGGTGATTCAATTTACAAAGGACATAAAAGACTTTATATATACACAGCAGAAAGTCACCAGGGGAGGCTCTACCTCTTGATTAGATGTTGAGATGCCAGGATAGATGACACCACAGACACATTTGAATGGAAAGCTGTGCTAACCTTGGAGTCGTACGCCAGGTTCCCCAGGCAACAGACTCCATAGTCGAGATTTGCATGCAATTTCCATGATTGCAGGTGATATGGGCAGGGAAATGCTTTGGGGAACAGCCCCCATGGTGGTGTGAAGGAAGCAGGGTGTGGCAGAGGAGAATGTGAATTGTGATGCGGCTGCAGTGGAGACCACAGTGCGCCTCACCTGGAACTCTTGAATTGGGAAGGTGCTTCAGAAATGTCCCTAACTGAGGCAAGGGTGTGGAGCTTATGTACACTTGTATCTACTTATCATTTAGTGTGTGCGCCCATAGGAAGGGGGCCCAACTTAGATCCAGGCAGCTCCTTCAGCAGTTTTGAGCAGGGAATGTGAATGAGCAACAACTAAATGAACGACTCAGTCCTGGAGCATGGAGGGTCGGGCAAAGCACACGGTCCCTCTACTGGTACCTGCTCCGGGGGAAGAAAGGGGGAGGTGTGAAAATAAAGAAGAGGGTAAAATGTTGCTTAACAGAAGATATTTTCTAAATATGGTGCTCTGTGGACCATCCTCTTCTCCCTGGGCCACTGTGATCCCTTATTTTAAATCTCTCCACTTGCACATTTGCCCCTTAGACAAGCAGAACAGTCTGAAAATATAAGCGCAGTCCAGTCACTGCCTGATGCCCTTCAGTGATTTCCCACCTACCTATTAGAACGTGCCCTATACGTGGGCTGACCGTGTGATCCATTGTGCAAACCAGGACACTGGTGAGAGTGAATGGAGGCAATGTCAACAATGACACAGGGACAAAGGTCTAAATCAGGACAGTTCTGATCTAACTGGGATGTATGTTCAGCCTACCTATAAGGCTCCTGAGAATAGGGCCACCCTCACCCCCATGTCTTCCTCTCCCCAAAGTCCTCTCCCACCTGCCATCCATCAGGTCCTAAACCTAATGAAGCTCTTTCTCACCACAGGACCTTTGCAGTCACACTTCCTTCTACCCACTTTTGAAGACTGCCCCTGACTCTTAGAGACTTCAGTTCAGCATAAAATGTTCCTGTTCGGAGAGGCCATCCTATTTATTCTCTCTATAGTACCTGTTAATTTTATCCATACTCCCTACTAGGATTTGAAATTACAATCACCAAATTTTAAGTTCTTGAAGGACACAAATTCTCTGTCTTGCATACCAATGTGTCTGCAGTGATTAGCCCAATGCTGCCCACTCACATTTGGTACTCAATAAACACAAAGAGATGAAGAGGTTGGAGCATTGTTCTGAAGCAAAAATTGTGTGTGTTTTCAATGAAATACCCAAAGCCAATGAAGGACGAAGCCGCCACCTACCTTGGGAATTGCATTGGTGGCTGCTGACCCTGGGAATGTGGACAGAGAAGAATGTAAAACATTAAGCAATCAATTTGCAAACACCTAGAGGATCACAGTCTTCCGGATAAGAACCAGCAGTTTAACGATGAGGAGATATTGTCAGAACAATCTAATTTCCTTTTAAGACAGAGGGACCTTCATCAAAAGCATTTATTAAGTGTCTGCACACAGTTGGGAGAAGCCTGTTGGAGGTGGAAGAGCTTGCAGGCAGCTGGAAGCATCAGATTTAATATATGTCCTGACTTCAGCCCAAATCTGATTTTGCTTCTGTGATCATTTCCTTTCACAGGCCAAGCAAATATGAGTTCTTTATGGTAGAAGGTAGGAGCAGAATAATTGTAGGATTAAACCCAGAATAACTACTGTAGCCTTTAAAAGTTGAGGGGTAAAATTATTTTGAAGGTAAAAAAGGGTAACTTTTTGCTTAGGTCTAATGAAGTTAATGTCTTAGTCCTCTGCCTCCTAACACTTGACTGTCGCAGAAAAACAGAATCACCCTGGAACTAGTGGGTGAATTGTCAGGTTCATTTGGTGTGGTTGCTGAGCACTGTCCACTGAGAGAGGGTCCACAAGACCCACCACAGGGCAAGCGTGATGATTCACACACAAACACCAAGGCCAGAATTGAGGGCTAAGAGTAATGCCATTTCAGGGGTCAAAAAGTCACATGAATGTTTCTAGATATCAATGTCAAGAACTAAAATCTTGATTTTTACACATATGGATGTATGTATGTGTGTGTATTTTTTTTAAAAGATTTATTTATTCATGCATACAAGAACTGGGGTACAGGCCAGATGTGTGGGAGGATGAGCGCATTCACCAGAGCCAGGGTGGGGAACAGAACAGGCAGACTGACTGAAATACACTGCTGAGGGGAGCAGCAGGCGAGACAGGAGAGGTCTGCTTCGCCATGTGGGATTCTCGCAGGCCGGCCGGGATTAAACCGGCGCTGCAGAGGCTGGGGACAGCTTCACAGCGCTGCACTCAACTGCTCGCACCACCAGGGGAGGCCCCAATGTGTGTATTTCTTTTTAAATTGAGGTAACATTGGTTAACATCATTGTTTGTCTCTTATAAGTATAGGATCTCCCCCTTCACACTGTTCCCACTACCCAACCACCCACGGTTCTTCAGTAGAGTCCACTGTGCTCCCTCCCTACTTTGGCCTCCCCCGCCACCCTCCATAGCCTCAGTTCTATATTCAGCTTTCTAGGGTTAGTTTTTAGTTTGGCATTAGCTAACCCTTTGTTTGGTTTCTCTGTATTCCACATGAAAGTGACTCCATCCATTATTTGTCTTTCTCCTTGTAACCTATTTCCATTTAGCATAGTACCCTCCAGTTCTACCATGTTGCCACAAATGGCAAGACTTTATCTTTTTTGATAGCAAGTAGTATTCCATTGTGTATATAGCACATCTTTCTGATCCAGTCATCTGTACTTGGGCATATAGGTTGGTTCTATAACTCAGCTATTGTAACTAGTGCTGCAATGAACTTGGGAGGGCATATTTCCCTTGGAATTAGCTAAAACCTTGACTTTTATGGCAGAAAACATTTTAAATCAAGTTGACACAAACGGATCCTAGCATCTAGTCAGCTGACTTTGCTATGTGTGAAGTGAATGTAAAGTAGCTGAAAAATTCTGTAACAATAAACACTTAGAAAATCTGACATTCTGGGAGGTAAGCCTCTCAAGTCTAGTTAACGTTCTGCCTTGTTCCAGTTTAGGGAGCTCACAGGCTGCTAGGAAAGCCCACCAGCCATTGGAAAAGAGGCTCACCTCAGAGAAGTCAGCAGCGGGGCTGGGTGGGACCTGGCCTCAGTAGCCACCTCCTACCCTATAAACCAAAGAGTAGAATAGGAACTGACTCTGAGAAACATCAGACGAGGGAATGTTGAAAACATGTCTTATGTCTATTCACACACAGAGGGCCAAGGTGTGGCCACCTGCTTAGCAGGAGAAGGCCTGTACGTGCAGTGCTGATGGTAGGAGGCCAGATGCGATCAGATGGTCTTCCTGTATTCAATGTTAGTGAGAATTTATTCCTGGGTAGGTACTGTATTGAGTTCTGGGATGCAGCATGAAAGTGGAGCTTTTGGGATACAGCATGAAAGTGGAGCTTGTAGTTTCCAGAGAGTCCATAGCTACCAACACGATGGATCATTACGCTGCCAGGGCTATGGAGAATGGTGGGAATTGGGGAACAATTGAACCCATTGAGAACAGGGATGAAGAGAGGTGGAGGCAACTGATATCCAGTAGTCCCAGCTCTCCAGCCACAGAGCCTGCAGGGACAGAGAGCCCAGAAAAGAATTTTACAGTCTGTTTTATGTTCCATTTGCATTATTGCCTTGAAGAGGGCAAAGGCATTTGGATGTTTGCCAAATTCAATGTTGCAGAAATGCGCTTGTGCTCCATTTCAGCCAGGGGCATGCAACACAATTGACCATGACCTTTTTCTTGCTCATTCTGCTCTCTTGGTTTCATTGCTACTGCACATGCCTCCTCCTCTGCCCTTTCCTTTGCCAGCTGTTCCTTCTCAGCCTTCTTTGCTGGCTGCTTCTCAGTTGCTCAACCCATACATGTGGGCATGTCTCTGGTCTCTGTCCCGGGCTCTGTAGTCTTCTAAGCACTGCCCATAGGTGACCTTCTCCAGTATTTATACCATCTTCATGCCAGTGGCTGCCCACCTGCTCCTCCATGCTGAATCCTCCCCAGCTCTCCAGGCCCATCCGGTCAGCACTTGCCCTTGCCCTGTCCTGATGGCCATCCTGGAGTCCAGCCTGCCTGTCCCTCTGTCTCTTCCATTCCATCTAGATACTGAACAAAGGGCTCCCCTTAACTCTCCCAACAAATTCATCCCATGTCCCGTCATTTCTCCCTCTAAAGCATATTCTCTCAACCTCCATGACCACAAACCTGGCCCAAGCTAAATTACTGCAGGAGCTTCTCAGTGGATTTCCTTCTGCCACTGCTAACCCTCAATAGCCACGCGACAACCTGTCAGCCAGAGGGATTCATTTAGACGTTAATCAGATTTTGTTACTGTTATGTTTCAAAAAGCAATGATAGCTTGCTTTGTGACTTTAACCTGAAATCCAAATTATTTTCCTGGCTTAAAAGCCCTACATTTTCTGTTCTTTCCCTATCCCCTCCCCACAGCCCCTCCCCGCGCCCCTCCACTGCATTACAGACTCATAGTCTTCACTCTGTTCCCATTTTCCAGCCTCAGGGCTTTGTCACTTGCTCTTCCTCTGCCAGGTGTGCTCTTTGCCCCCTTCTCGTGGAGTCCTCGCCACACACCCTGCTCTCAGTCCACACGTCGGGCAGTGAGACTTCCTAGCCCACAAACCTGAAACAACTGCCCAGTTACCCTTGATCACAGCCTCTAATTTTTTTTTTAATTTTTGTACTTTTTAAAAAATTTATTTTTTTATTTTATATATATTTTACATCATTCTTCATTTTTCTCCTCTCCAGTGTAGTCCCCATGAAATTCCCACCACCAATTCACCTGTGCACCCTCACCATCGTCCCTTGTGCTCTTCCCTCCCCTGTTTTGATCCTTCTCCCTCCTCCTCCCCTGCATAATGTTCCTGATTTATAGTTGCCTCTTGATTTTGGATCATATCCTCTTTTAAACAGTCTGTATATTGTTTACTACTAGCTGATATTCTTTTTTTTATTTTATAGAGGCATGTTTTTATTTATTTATTTTTATTTGTTTGTTTTGTTTATACAAGCACTGGGTACA